GAGACTCCACTATAGACTTATTTTCACTATTCAGACATTAGAGTTTTGTACTCATATTGTAAAGGCAGTTTACCTTAGTTTATTATTTGTTGACTCTTCTTGAGACATTTTCATTATTTTAGATATCGGATATATTTCAGTTGAGACATAATTTTCATTTATGAGATATCTCTTTCTATATCATGTCTATTATTTTTATTTCCTTACTTTGCTTATTTTGTAGATATGGGATATATTTCAGTTGAGACATAATTTTCATTTATGAGATATCTCTTTCTATATCATGTCTATTATTTTTATTTCCTTACTTTGCTTATTTTTATTTCCTTACTTTGCTTCATTTATGAGACTCCACTATAGACATATTTTCACTATTCAGACATTAGAGTTTTGTACTCATATTGTAAAGACAGTTTACCTTAGTTCATTATTTGTTGACTCTTCTTGAGACATTTTTATTATTTTAGATATCAGATATATTTTAGTTGAGACATAATTTTTATTTATGAGATATCTCTTTCTATATCATGTCTATTATTTTTATTTTCTTACTTTGCTTATTTTGTACCTGCACTTATATTTGATCGCACTAGAGGATATTACTGTGATTGGTGAAACGTGTTTATGCACAGTGTGGGTGCATGACAGGCTTAACATCTCAGGATTCACCTTGGACTGCAGCCATGTGTGAAACCAGGGACGTCACAATGTTCTATATCAGATTCACTAAATGAATATTTATTTAACTTATTTATATACTGATTTCATCTATTTTGTAGGTATTTCTATCCATTCTTTATTCTGAGAAAAGATTTAGATCATTTTACAATAAGTCCTACTTGATTATTTTCATCTTTAGAACTTGATTTTGTGACTCTTTCTTCTTCGTGGATCAAGATTTCTTCTTTTTTTTTACTTTTAGGGCTAACGACTTCTTCTTTGAGTTATCTCTCTCTTTTAGTCACACTTCATACATGAGAAGGTTCGATACAAGATTCTTAAGAGTTAATTTAGAAAAAATTTATAGTTCTTTGATAGCTGTTACAATTTCTCAATCCCTATAAAGAGAACGAAGAATTTTTCACAAGCTTCTATATCATACTCATTTCGCAAATACTTTAATGTACTCACAATATCTTTGAGTCAGATGAACATATCTTGAATACTCTCTGAGGCCTTCATATTGAAATTCTCATACCTACTGACAAGCATTATATGTTTTGCCTCTTTCACCTGTGAAATTCTCTCATGTGTAACTTCTAAATTTTTTTAGATTTCCTGCGAACTAGAATAATTTGACCCATGTTAAATTATTTATGAATAAAATAATAATAAAGAGCATTCATAGCTTTTGTATTTAAAGCATAAATCTTTTTGTCCTGAGCAATCCACTTATCTCTAGAAATAATAATAGTGACCTCTTCTATTATATCCATTCTCTACATTAATCAAAACATCATAATCCGCGAACACTAAAAAGACTCTCATACGCTCTTTCTAATAGGTATAGTTTGTCCCATCAAAAAGCAGGGGTCGATTAGCTGCATGTCCCTCAGGAAAAGCCATTGCGGAGCTCAAACTAGACATCTTTACCTAGGTTATGAATCCTAATAATGGATAACTAACAATAAATAAAAACCAACCAAGGGCATACAGGATTTTATAGTAGTTTGGACAACAATCCTACGTCTACTCTTCTTTCTTATGAAAGAGCTTCATCATTATGCCAAGAGTTCTCTTGAATCACAACCTCATTCAGCAGGCTTACAAAAACCGTACCCCGAAATCTATTCAAAATCAGTCATTTAACCTAACTTTACACAACGAGTAAAGACCTAGATCGAGCTAATTGCAACCATTAGTTGACAACAGCTTGAGGAAGCTATAAAAACAAGTTTAAAATAAATCCAAACATTCACAATGAAGAACAATAAATATGACAAAAACTTACTACCCTTTTGATAAACAAACTGTCTTCTGATGAATCTAAGAGTAACATAATGAAGAACAGTATAGATGATGAATCCAAGGGCAACTCTCCTTACTGAAATGATCAAGAGATGTTGTGCACGATGAGAAAGAGTTTATCGAGTCTCTAGGGGTCAAAATTTTTAATGTAATCTCTTCTCAAATCAAAACCATAGAACTCTCTCTTCTTTCTATATCTTTCAATAATATATAGTCTCGAATAGGTTAGGAAAGGGATATGCTAAACTTTATAGATTTTGGAGATCAAAGGAATAATGAACGGCTAAGATTAAAACCTTAAATTTGTAATCATCTGACTTTATCATTGACGGGTTCATGTCGATCATCAATGGTGTCAAGGTACCATCATGGATGCCTATAAATCATCGATGATTTGAAGTCCTGTCTCGAGAATTTCATCAATTAGTTTCTATAGCCATCAATGATATCATCAATCATCTATGTGTTCTTGCTGACCATCACTGGTTTGGTGTCTAAAATCAATTATTGAGCTACTTTTCACATTATTTTACATCATACATGTCTTATACCCATGTTCACATATATTATATCATCTCAAATATTTATTAGTGCCAAATGAGATTTTTTTTTATTACTCAAGCAAGAGATATTGTACGCCCTACATCCTAATAGTTAACACCTAACATTTAATGGTTAAATTTAACACTAAAGTATATGGTTAAACATAACACTAATGTTTTAAAGTTAATAGGTTTGTACCTTAAAGTTAACATGTGATGTCTAATTAATAATTACAGCTTTAATATTAAGTTTAACTGTTAGGTTTTTAATATAACTATTAGGTGTCTAATTTGATAGTTAGGCATTAAGTTTAATTGTTGAGTTTTATCTTTGACATAACTATAGAAGATGGCCCATCTAAGAAAATATAATGACCTTTTAGTGACACAGTGGTGATTGTGAAACAATGGAAAAGGAAAGAGAGGGTAGGTGGATGGAGATGGGACAAAGGAGGAGGAAGAAGAAAACTAGATAGACATGCAGGAGGAATAAAGAGTGCGAAGATGAGATAGAGGAAATAAGAGGAGAGAGGAGGGAGGAGGAGGGAGAAGAATAGAGTTGAAATGGATGAGAGTTGAGTTAAAGTTTTGAAGTTGGTATGGACAAAATATGAGGAGAAAGGATGATGGGAAAAGGAGAGAGGAGGGTAGAAGTGGGCAGATAGAGATAGAGAGAAAAGAAGGAGGTAGAATGAATGAGAGAAGATGGAGGAGATGAAATGGGAAAAAAAAAATTAACATGAGGAAGGTTGGTGGAGAAGAGGAAGAAGATGAAGCTATTTTAGGGATAAGAAAGGAAAATAGGATAAAAGAAGAAAAGTTGAAAAAGAGGGCTTTGTCACATTTGACTTCAGTAAATTGGTTTGGTCGCATGCTAATTCGTAAATTGTGGCCTAGTGTTTGGTGGAAAATTTGTAGTGAAAAGAATAAAAGAAATTTGATTTGTATTCTCTCGATCTCGATTATAATTGAATTTCCTGATTACAAAAGAGAGGAGAATTGATCTCGATTCTCCCCTTTGTTTAGTTCTGGGTTCTTCACGGTGGCGATGTAGTACCTCCCTCAAATGCTCGCGTCGAGTTTGCTCTTCGTTGACGATCCGACTATCTTGATTCACTGGAACGTGGTCTTCTCCTCATAATTTGACGTTGTGGAGAACTTGCGTGGTAAGTTTTAGAACTCTGGATGAGTTTGAAACTCTATGAAAGAGTTGATTTAACCAAAATCAGTTTATAAGCCAAGGATGAAGAAAGCTCCTGTTGTTGATCTCCAAAGCTCCAGCAATTCCCCCAAAAAGCTAGCCGAAGATCTCTTCTTTGCTGCCTAAAAAGAAAGATCAATCCCAGAGCTAAAAATCCAACCGAACTCAGTTAAGTTTTTTCCTATTTATAGGAGATTAAGAGGTGTAACCACCCCTTAAATCACTCCTAAGTGGGGTGTAACCGCGCCCAAAACATAGGAAATGGTTTTGGAACCATTCAGTTCCTATTGAATGAGTCAAACAATGCCCAAGTTGGCGTTCAGGACCCTAACTCCGTGTCTTAGGATTGGAGACGCGGAGTTGAGTACCCGCTGGGTGTTGAAAAATGCGAGGGCCGCCCGCGTTTTGGAGTCTGAAGTTTGGAAACACGGGGTCGCCTGCGTTTCATTTGCTGAAGGTTGAAAACGCGGGGGTCTCTTGCGTTTTGCTTGTTGAAACATGGAAACGCGGGGGTCGCCTGCGTTTCAAGAATTGAAACGCGAGGGTGAATTCCGCGTTTTAGAAGGAGCTAATGACTTATAGCTTCTTCTGTAGAGCGTTGCAAAGACCATTGTTCAGTAATCTTCATCTTGGCTCCTCAAAAATATGAGAGTCGTCAGATTGTAACTCCCGATATTGATTGTGAAGGCTGTTGATTAGAGCTTTCATCAGTTGTTACGAAGGTCGTCAGATTGTAACCTTCATCGATCTATGTGAAAGTCTTTAAATTATAACCTTCTAGAAGTTGTCAGATTGTAACTTCCATCTTCGGTGTTTGATGGGGATTGGCTATCTGTTATGATTTTTAGACAGCCTACACCTAGACACATTTTTTTCCTAAAAACTAGGATCACGTCAGATGAAGATTTCTCAATATAAACTAATCATAAACCTTTCTGAAAAGAATTTTTGATCTAAATCTCTAGAAATTCTAACATCTACTTGGATATTTTTCAAGACATATGAACCATATATAATAATTAGAGTATACATATCTAAATAAAAAATAATTAATTTGATCCATAAAAGGGGCACTTGAATCCCCAAACTGTTCTAAGAGCATGTTTGGCAACTTACTTATTTTTACTTATTAGGTGCCAATGTGATGTTTGGTAAGTATTACTTATATTACTTATTTGTTACATGTGCGTAGAGACAAAATAAGTTGAGATTCCCTAACTTATTTTTTCATCTACTATAAGGAGCTTTCCTTATTCCAATCAAAAGACAAAAATACCCTCATTCTTTTACTTCTCTAGGAGCAGTTCTCATCAAAAGAAAGGAGTGTTTCTCTCGCTTGCATCGTTCCTCATAGTGGCGTTCAGATCTTCAATTGCTCGAGTTCAAATATACAAAATCTTATTCAAAATCTTTAATGAGGTACAATTGTAACTTACTTTGGTTTTTTATTTTTGCCAAATTTTTATAATGTTTAGGGTTTTTGTTATCACCAATTGCTCAAGGGCGAATGTCTGCATGGTTTCCAAATATTAGGGGTTTTTTGTGGTTTCGCAAAATTTAATTTTATTTTGCTATCATTTCTTTAATTACCTTGTATTTCCCTTTATCTCATTCCAATTTTATTTTGTCTCACTTTATTTGGATCTCAAAATAAGAAATAACAACCAATATTAGAGCTAATTTTTCACAAAATTTTGATTTTTTTCACAAAATTTTGTCTCACTTTATCTCATTCCAATTTTATTTTGTCTCACTTTATTTGATTTTTTTTACTATTTTCTAATAAAGAGATAGCCATTGTTTTTTTTACTAACCCATACAATAGATAACTGTTGCTCTTCTAATAAGATGATAGTCATTTGTTCTTTTCTAACACAAGCAATGGAGAAATAGAAGATGAATACTATCACCAAAAAAACATAAACAATTTCTATATGTTCTATTGAGACTCTTTGAACAATTAGTCTAGGTAATAACGGTGAGGACTCCTACTTGTTAGATATTTTTGGAAAAAGTCAATATTGTCTCCTAACTATCACCTATTAATTCTCCAACTAACCCCATATTTCTCTAAAAGAGCTTTGACTATTTCTCCACTAATCTCTCTCCCTCTAACCAAATCCAGTAACCCACGATCTCCTCTCTATCTCCCTATAATACCCTCTTAAGCTCTCTCTTAAGAAGTGACTTCTCTTGTCTGATTCTCTCTAATCTCTCTCTCCCTGCTCACGAAACATAAGCAAAGAAAAGAAGAGAATAGTGAGAAATAAAGAAAGAAAAGAAAAAGAATAGAGAGAAAATTATAACGGTGAATTTGTGCTACTATTTTATCGATAGTGTTATTTTGGGCAACCTTCTTCATCTGATCAAAAGCTCTGTGCTCTCGCCCGAGTACGGAGGCCGGCCTTTTCCGGGGACTTTTACCGCTAGGGGGGGAGGGAACCATTTGCGGCAGGTCAATATGCGGGTTCTCAATCTTCTAGGGGAGTGATTACACGACTACTCCCGTTAGGCCTGATTTTTCTTATCTCTTATTTATTTAATTTGGATTTTATTTTATGCTATAATATTGATTTATAGATATTTTCCAACAATCTAGAAAATTGAGATTATTATAGATGTTAATTATTAAATCTAAAAATAATTATAATTTATAATTATCTGTTTTGAAT